ATGACTATTATTGCAGGTATTTGCATTGCAAATGATCTGTTTGTCACTTGATGCATTCATCCTGCCAATTTTGTTATTTTCTTGATCTACTTATTATGCGAATAAAACCAAATAAATGAAACCGAGGGGAAAAGATAGATAGTTTACTTATCCACATGTGGGTAAAGCTGCCTACCTCAACTAAACACGGAGAAGCAGCGTTCAGTTATCATGCTCCAAATATCTGGAACAAACTGCCTGAAACCTGCCGCTGCAACTCTGACTACTTTCACATCCAGGCTCAAGACTTTTCTTTTTGCCGCTGCTTTTAATTGAACTATTCATATCTTAAACTGCACTGTTTTATTCATGTATTTTTTCTTTTAATGTTTAATTGATTATCTTTGCTTTTTAATGACTGTTTTTAAATGCCATTTTCTTAATGTCTTTCATTTTCGTAAAGCACTTTGAATTGCCTTGTGTTGAAGGGTGCTATATAAATAAACTTGCCTTACCTCATTTGACCTAATTATTCCTCAACATCTGAGCAGAGCAGTAAATATAATGCATCCTCCTATGATTTAAGAGCTCTTACTTCATGGATCCCTCGGGGCAGTCGGGCACGATGGCCGAGGTGTGTCCCAGCACGAAGCCGGGGATCCAGCCCTCGGCGGCGGGGCCCTGCTCCGTGGCCGCCCTGAACACCAGGAACATGTTCTGCTGGTTGCTGGCCAGGATCTGGACCACCTCGCCCTGACAGACGCTGATCTCATCCTCCTTCACAGCCATGTAGTCCTGGGTCACCAACATGGTGGATACGCTACTGCTGCTGCTGCTTTCACTCTGGGAGGAAACATGACATGGGAAAAACTGTGAGTAGGGATTCACTTTGTAGTCTGTCTGCCAGATCATAGAGTCATAATGTGAACACGGAAATGTTGAGAATCCTAAAGATTTATGTTAGAAATGTAGAGTACGGGTCCTTAGCACATAGAAACTGCCGGATGCTAACATGCGCATGTTGGGCATTTTGCACAATTAGCATTAGTTGCGTTATCTAGCATTGTAGCTTATTTTGACAATAGTTACAAAATGGCTTGGCCAAGTTGGACCATTTCTGAGTGGTTTTCGGGGTTATTGAGGATTCTGAGTCCATTTCTGCCACTTTCAGGATCCAAAATGGAAGCTTTAACCAAAAAGTGGCCATATGTGTAATCTGTGGGCTGATTTTGATGAATTTTCGCTTGATTTTGAAGTTTTAGGGGACTTTGGATCATCTGGATTGGAGAGATTGTTTTTCTATTTCAAAAATATTGTCTACAGTATAGGTAATACTTTACTTCTTGTGCTCTCACGTTTCAAACATAACATTTTGGGGTACTCAACATTTCCGTGTTCACAGTTCTGGCAACTAGACTATGAGCCAGAATGATGACAAACAAATCTAAAGCTAGTACATTCAGTGAATAGAAAGAGAGAAAAGGTCGAAATCAGGAAGTCGATGTTTGATTAATGTCCACTTGATTTAGTCTTCAGAAAGGATTAGAGTGAAGTGAAAGACAAACAAACAGCAAGTTATTATTTTCTTGAAAAAACAAACAAAGATCTGTGTGAAGAAAGGCAGGAATAAGATGAGGATTTTCCAATTCACTCGTCTTTGCTCTGCAGCTCTGGGCAAAGACGAGAAGAGCGTTAGGCTGAATGAGAGGATCTCTGTCCAGTGCGTTTGTAGGAACACCACAAACGTCGGAGGTTAGTGGAAGGAAAAGTACATTTCAGAAACACACCATGAAGACAGCAGTAGGTGGAGGACGGCCAAGAGGAAGTCAGGTGTTAGTAGAAGCTTTGTTAGAGTTTAGAAATCTAGAGACAGCCTGGAAAAGGAATCACTGAAGAGCTGATTGAGCTCCACTAGAGAAGGGTTTGAACCCAGAAACTAGAGAAAGAGAGGATGATGCTGAGGAGCAGGCTGTCGGAGATTAGTAGCACTGCTGCAGCGAACAGGAGACAGACAGGCNCCTGCAAGTACAATACTTAAATACATATGAATACACTTAAATGTAGGGATGTCCCGATCACCTTTAAAATCAAATGATCGGAATCGGACCGGGAGCAAAAAAAGGTGATCGGGACATCCCTACATTTAAGTGTATTCATATGTATTTAAGTATTGTACTTGCAGGCCGCACTATGAGGAGCCCTGAGTTAAAGTAAGGACAAGGCTGGAGGGAAAAAGAACAACCAAAACAACCTTTGAGAGAAGGTTAAAGAAGAGGTATGTGATTTTGAACGCAGCACCAGGAAAAATATGCTACTTCTTTTTGGTCAGCCTTTAAATAGAGGTCTTGCAACGACTTCCTGTTCTCACTGGGGCTGCACGATTTGGAGAAAATAACGAGATGCGATTGTTTTGACTGATATTGCAATTACAATACATGGATCTTTTTTACATCATTGTTCTAATTATCATTGACAAATATATTAAAATGATCATGGTGTTAAAAATGATACAACTATTAATTTTATTGCAATGGTCGATTTTGCAGTTTTGGTCAAATGTAGATGAATTGTGCAACAGTGGCTCAGTCTGTCGGGACTTGCTCTTTGAACCGAAGGGTCACATGTTCACGTCCCAATCGGTGCTGCCCACTGCTCCGAGTACTAGGATGGGTTAAATGCAGAGGTCCAATTTCGCTGTGTGCTGTACTACGTGCATGTACATGTGTGACAAGATAAAGAGGGTTTCATCCTCCAATTCTTCTTCCTCTTCAACCCTAGTTATCACTTTGTACTGCTTCATATAAGGATGTCACGACTCTATGATGAATGGCTTTTCAACGATTCTAATCGGGAACATATTTCATGTTCTGCCTGATCAGTAAAAAATAACATAGCTAAACATATCTTTAACATTACTAACACAAAAAATACAATTTAAATGCTCTGATATAATACCGTTTTTAATTCTTCCTGAGAGTATGTGAAAAGAATAAATAAATATCTGAACCCTAACATGTTGTTGTGTTCAGACCCCACTCACCTGTCGATGAACTGATCGATGAGGACGATGTCTCCGGGCTGGATCTCTTCCCGGAGCGATCCGCAGGCCGTGGTGACGAGCAGATGAGTGCAGCCCTCCTCTCTCAGAGCCCAGATGTTGGCCTGGTAGTTCACATTGGACGGCATTATGGTGTGTTGTCTCCCATGCCTTAACAAATGAGGGAAAAGTAGCATTTAAGATATTCATTGTTTATCCAATTTGGGTGAATATATGCAGTAAAAATGGATATCCACTAGATGGAGCTTATAGAGAACATTTCATAATTCACTTTTTAAAGTAGAGTAAAACATCCTTTCTCACCTTGCAAGGAGCACACACTCCACATTCTTTATCCTCCCCAGTATTAAAGCATCAGAGGGCTGTTCAAGGAAAGAAGAACAATCCAATTAAACAAATTGATTTTAAGGTGATATTTGTCATTTATACTACGATTTTCTTTGTTTTTTTTATACTGGCTTAACTAATTATATTGTTGTCAAATTGAATCTAACTGCTTCCTGTTTATTTTTTCTTTATATATTTGTTGCCTTGTATTTATTTGATGTGACTTTTATTGTATATTTAATTAAATGTATTATGTTGAATCAGCTATGAAAACACTACAGTAATAAATTATTTACAAACATATGCAAGTAGAGCGTATTGTTGACACTGCTCTACATGACGGAAAAAGCGTTGGACCACAAAACACAACTCACCTTCCCGTAAGGTGTGTCAACGTATCGCTCAGTCCTTCCCTCCAGGATATCAGGATCATCAAGGCCGGAACCACCAATTATCCCAATCTAAACAAAAATAAGAAGTCGTTAATAAACAACTACATTGTAATTATTAGCCAAACACTTCCTTTTGTGTGCCATTTATAAAAACACAATAAATATAACTTTTCAAAGTTTGTTTTATGTACAGTGTAGACTGTAGAGAATTGCAGCAAGAGCTAAACACAACAAATATATATAAAAATAAGGTTTTGAAAACAATGTAAGCACATATTCAAATAAGTCTCAATACAAAGTGAAAAACTGAAATCCAGGATGATAAGATGTGATTTAGTTCCCCTAAGGGAGTAGGATCTCTGTTTGTATACACAAAGCATGAACAATTACTCAAGTATTTCTTATTTGCATTAAAGTAAAATACTTGAGTAAAACATTAAGATACACCTTTACTGATCCCCAGTGGGGAAAGTGTAAAAGTTGCTGCAGCACCAAAAGGACAGACAGAAAAAATGAAATACCAATGTGAACATTGTGTGATTTATACAAGCAGTCAACTGGAAACCGTGTCAGTCTCAATGTAGCTAATAAAAACACAACAATTGTTATACATACTACCTATTTCACATTATATGATATTCTGCCATTAACCCCCTACACACAGGTCCTTTAGTATAACAAAATGCAGTGCGAGAGGCAATGCAACATATTAACAATAGGCTATAGTATTATGTGGTACATACTTTTGTATGCACGTGTTTCTATCACTTTTTTGTGAAATGTGTGAAAGCCTTGTTGTCTCTTGTTTATGTATTTGTTTAATGCAGCTGTCAGGGTGCACACATCCTGACCACTTGCCACACAAATACAGCTGAGATGGTTCAACGTTAGCATGTATGTTAGCTTGTGTCATTTAGCCATTTCCGTTTAGTTTATGGATTGCATATTACAAATACAATGGGCTAATAGAGTACGATGCTAACAGCTCGGTAACGTTATAACATTGTTCCGCATTCCCACATTTGTAGCGGCAGCACATCATGAAGCCACGTTTAGCTGACGTTAGCTACATTTATTCATTGATTTCCCTGTGCCAGTGTGTTTATAACATACACAGTTATGTACACCTAAGACCCGACCTTAAATATACGGTTTTTACCTTTATGGACACTGTGGAAGCCATGACGACAATGTTCTTGCCTGCTAAAGTCAATATATATGAAGAAATTGGGAGGATGAAGACTGTTACAGAATACAAACCGCTACATCCGTCAGAGACCAGAGACCAACGGACAGTTCGCTTCCTGTTGACCTTCAAAATAAGAGAATGGCGATTTCAGATGAGATGAATTTTGCTTGGGGCTATTTTTTTAGAAATATTTCAATTCTGACTTGCTTGCCATTTATTCAGATGTACACTCAGCCTTAAGCAAGCTGTATGTTTCCTTTCATTTGACTATAAAACTCAAAACCACCCATCAGTGAAATATGTAAACATTCCCCATTAGCTTATATTTTCACTTTACCTTTTATCAATTTTTTATTTATCTTTCAAAAACAGTTTTCCTCTCAGTTTACATATATATTTAACCTTAGGCTTCAACATGTACTACATTCCTATTAACATTCAGTTTAATTTGTAATAGCCTGATAGACATGCACACATTAAGTGCTTTTATGTGAAGAAATTCAATGTAAAAAAGGTACTCAAAACTCACCATCTCATTTAACTTCTTAAGGGTTTAGACACAAATTGAATGTATTGTACAAATATAGCCTTGTTTCCCAGTCTAAATTAAATATAAAATGTGTTTTTGCTGTGGTCCTGAGTCCTGCATCCTGAGTCCTGGATGTCGAGTCGTGGCTGAGCCTGTCACTGTGGTCCTGACTGACTCTCCTCATACTGCTTCCCTGATGGCTCCCACAGGATTGTTGATATCCTCCTGGATTCATGTTCTTATAAACAGACACATGCATTTCAAAACATTTTGTCTACCTATGTTGTAAATGTATTATCTCGATGTGAGGGTCTAAGGACAGAGGGTGTCGTATTGTCATACTGATACTCTGTACAAACTGTGAAGACCACTGAGATAAATGTAACATTTGTGATATTGGGCTATATAAATAAACATTGATTGATTGATTGTATTAAATTAGCATCATTTGAAAATGTTATTAGACCAACAAATCCAAAGTTTTGCATCCCACCACTTTACATTGAAGAGGACAACCACTTTGGATGCTTATGCTGTGGTAGGTAAATAACATTAAAATCATAAAAACAGAAAACCAACAGCAAACACATTTGCTCATTACAATTTATTTTAAATAAACGTTCAATGCAAAAGAGCCTACAATTCGAACACCATATGCAGATAATAAGAACTGCTTTATTTCCAGCAGGTTGAAATAGTTTTCTCTCATAATATAGCTGACTTGTAAAGAAAAAAAAATCACTGTAACCGATGATTTTCCCTGAGCACCTTAGAAATGTAAATACACCTGTTAAAGAAAATTAAGTTCCCAATAAGGATTGACACTTAAAAGAGGTTCGCAACTCCAAATAAAACTCCATTCTGCCTTTGTACATGGCGGCACTTTGCACGTGAAAATAACATTGTTTTAGTCATTCATGAAAGCCGGTGTCCAACGAAGAAGAAAACACTTGCAATGTCATTTAAAGGGGTACATGTTTTCATCGCCCGTTTCTCAATGTCGAGTAAACCTGCTGCAGAGCAACAATTTCAAGTATACTACGTCATCGAGTGGCGCCGAAGGACTGTTTAAATGCCCAGCATTCTGCGCCACTTTATGATGTAGCATACTTGAAATAGTGGCTCTGCAGCATGTGCACTCGACATTGAGAAACGGCCACCGTATCCTTTGAAATATTTAGTTTTGATGTATAATACTCTTTCCATATAACTACTCAATAGAGTCCGGAGGGGCGGGGTCAACTGGGTCATCTGTGGTATTGTCGATGGGGTTGTCCTTAGTGCTGCTGTCCTGGGGGATATTATCATTGGCAACCGTATCGCTGTCACTGTCACTGTCAATGGTGATGACAGCGGGCGAGTGGTTCCCTGTGCGTTCACTGCTCCTGTGCCTTTTACTTCTCTTCTTGTGTTTCTTCTTTTTCTTATGGTGACGCTTGCTTCGCTCCTGAGAGTTATCCTCGTTGACGAGCTCCACACTGAGGCTCCTGCTCGACCCGTCTTTGGATTTTTTACGATTCTGCTCTTTGCTCTTTTTCTTTTCTTTCCTTGGCAACGAGGGGGACTCGCCTTCTCCAATCGAGTTGGAAAGTTCGGTTTTGCGTGCTGCGTCTTCCAAATGTCTTGTTTTGTATTTCCTCTTTCCACCTGGCTTGTTGTTGTGTGATCTCTTTTTCGTCGAAGGGGAGCTACTGCTGGAATAAGTCCTGGAAGGAGAATGCCTCCTTTCACGTCTCCGCGAGTCCCTGCTAGGGCTCCTGGAGCAAGAGTGCCGATTTGAGTAAGACCGCTTCTCTGTGTGATGCAGATTATGAGATGATTTATAGCGGTGATCAATGTCTGTCTTTTTATAACTTCTCTCAGATTTTGAGTCGCCTCTGCCACTTGGAGAATAACCCTTTTCTCTAGATCTGCTCCTGGTAAAGTGTGTGCGCTCTGCACTTCTTGAGCGCCTCTTTCTCCTGTGCTCGATGTCCTTTGACACGCGACTCTCTCTGGGTCTGCTGTCATATCTTCTATCAGTGTCTTTTCTGTCTGACCTGCTGGATGTCTTGTATTTGCTAGATGTCGAAGAGCCACATCTTTCTTTTGAAACCAACTGATGATAGTGGTCTGTTTCAACATTTTCTAACTGTCCAGCCCTGCTTGGATCACTGCTCTGTGAAGGTATAGGACTGAGGCTGGAGAAGCGGATGTGTTGAGGTAGAAGAGGCACTGCTTTAACATCTTCATCAGCAGACTCATCAGAGTCAGAGGAGAGCTGGACCAGCTCAGGAGTCCTTTCTGCTGTTGGCTTGACAACATTAACAATGATACAGTCATCACTGATATCAAATATACACTCCTCGTTGGTAAACTCACCCTGAGTCACCGCTGTTTGGCTGTGAGGACTCATTTGCTGTGGGGACGCCCCTAACCCCCGTGTGTCCTCCTCTAAACTGCTGTCTGAGTCTGAGTCGAGGACCGAGAGACCCTCCGCCCTTCTCTGCTCTGCTGTCGTAGAATAAGACGGCCCCGGCGTCTCATCGTCCCACATGGAGTGCCTCAGAGTAGACGTGGAGTCCCCTGGGGGGTCAAACCCCGTCAAGTCTTCCTCATCCTCTGAGATAGCTATTACAGATGAATTGGAGCTGCCGTCTTCATTTGAGGAAGAGGCTGGGCAGTCGTAGGCAGCATGCTGGTCATAGGCCTCCATATTAAAGGGGGACTTTGCAAAGCTCATGAACTCATGGATAAAGTGCTCTGTGCGCGCCTGGAGGAACGGCCTGAGCTCTTCCAGAATAGCTCCATCCTCCATGTCATAACGTGTAATGCGCGACATGATGATGTGTTGTACTATGTTGACCAAAGAGCCGTGGGCCCCATACAGCACAACAAGTTCTCTTTTCAGCCAGGGGATCAGTCTATGCAGGCACGCAGGATTTGTTCGGAAGAATTCAGCCGAGGTTTCTCTGGAGCGACCACCATCGTGAACATTACGAACCCTCACTCCCTGTCGGTACAATTCCCTCCTGAAGTTGACCATTTCCAGCTCTCGGACAGTGTTCACTGCCCTGCCTTCAGTTGCGGCTCTCCTCTTCGCTGCCAACCTCTTCATCATCCGCCGGATGTAACGCTCCTGCTCCTGTTGGGGAGGGTTAGCTGAAGCTTCAAACATTACACCGTTGTCTGGAGGTGGAGAGGTTCTTCCCCGCATCTGCCGATGGACTCCTGTAAGAGTGGTGCGGTATCTAAACCGCACTCCCCCAAAAGACCCAAATGAGCCACTCTCTACCGGTTGAAGGTCATACTTCTTAAAATCTTGCTCTGATTTTATACTGTGATAAATTGAATTAAAAGACTGTTTGCATAAAGGGCACTCGGCTTTGTTTTTGGACCACTCATGAATGCAGCGGAAACAGAATTTGTGAAGGCAGATATCCAGGTAAGAAATGTTGTTAAATATGTCCAAACAGATGGGACACTTGGAGTCCGGAGACACATCTGCAGACATTGCTTCAGAGATTTTCCTTTTGCTTTTCTTCTGGCTCTGCTGCAGGGCAATCTTGATTGCCGACATGATCTGACATGATAAAAAAAGGTACATTATTATAAAATGCAGAATTCGCAGTTACTGAACAATAATGGTAAGACAGCCATAGAGTACCCTATACTGTTCTAATAAGGTGCTGCAGTTAAGTCTTAAATAAGACACATTTCCCAGTAAATCCTATTTAACGTTCCTTATTAAGTTAAACATGATATACCCTAAGAAGAACACAAGAGTTGAGCTAGTTATCTCAGATATACACTATACATCCGATTCAACCATATTATGATCAGCTGCTGTATACATATATTTCAGTCTTCATATAATGACCAACACATCATCAACAAATACTTTTTTTTTTAGACTATATTATAAGATTCTCAATGTCGTTTTTCGTTATTCTAAGCTTGTTATAACAAAACACATGACTTTCCCTCTCCATAATGCATATAGACCTTACATCCATTTAAGAACACCACACTTCCCTACATATATACTAATCTATAAATACATGTTGATTAAAAAAATGCTTTAATAATATTAGACCTGTCCTGTAATGAGACGATAAAGCAGAAATGAATGACGCACATGGGTGCTTCACTCCATGGATAGTGTAAAATGCTTACTGTGTGACAGTCCGTGATATGTAACTAATGTCAAAGTCCTATTTTTATATCGGATCTATTCGTGCTTTACACATTACAAGAATACTCGTCTCAGGCTCATCTTAATTGACTCTTCACTAAGAAGAACATGTCGTAATAAACCCAAAATTAAATAAGCACTCGTTGCTGTACTTCTTTAGGTTTTCACTTAGCCTAGTTAGCCTAGCAGGTTAGGCTAGCACCGTGCCCGCTCACACAAGTGAGTAATGTTACAGTTAGAAACACGTCGGATTTAAGTGTCGGTATTGTCTCCACAACCCTGATCTTTAAATAAACTATTCTGTCAGGGATATATTGGTGCTGCCACTCAACGAGACTGCGAGATATAGTCTAAGAACTGATGATTAGCAAGCTAGCTGAGTTAGCTAGGACTTTATAGCTAAGTAGCATTAGCTTGATAGGCTAAGATCTGAACGGCTAGTTATGAGCTTCGAAAAAAGTTGTTCAATATTTACTTTTGGCTTCCTCGGACACGTATGTGGTTGACGACTGATTATCCTTCACAGTCTCATAGAAATCGACTCATTTCTTCATAGCAGTCATAAGGGAGCAACTCTTAAGCAGATCAGCAGCCGGGCTTCATAACACCATAGCTTTCAGTACTTTTTAAAATTCAATAAAATAAGCCACTTCCGCCCTTCAAAATAAAAGCGACACAAATAATTATTTAACTTTTTTCTACTACAGAACTACTTACAATGATCGAAATAGCTCTTTTGCTATTGTATTTAAATATTTTCTCATATTTCACCAGAAATTAAATTAATTTGGAGAATATAACAGAAAAATAAATTCCTGTTGGTTGATAACTTGAAATGTACATATCGTTTTTGAACTAATAATAAAAGTGCCATATTTGCATTTAGAGAACTACAAACATTAACCACATAAAACCCACATCCGGCCAACAGTTAACAAAATAAGAGCCAAAGGCCCCGGATGAGACGGGTACTTAACTGTGGCAAATACAGTCAAGAAAGAGAACACGTTAAAGACAGAAATCAGGAAGCAACCGAATCTCCAAGATACATTAGACATTTGATCAGAGAGACTATTATATTATGAAAGACATACAGAGTTAATTAAGATAATTTATTGTATTTGATGGGATGCTGGTCCCCCTCCAAAACAGTAGGTGGCGGTAATGCACCGTTAACGCTGGTTGCCACCCGCCATTACATCGTAAAAAGAAGAAGACCCGGGGTTTTTGATTCAGGTTTGTGTAAAATTGTCTCGGACCGAAGCAAAACACACAAACAAACGAACCAACATACAAACACCAATGACAAACACACAGGTATTTATTTGAGAGTGGAGTCCCGGGATGTCCTCATCATGGACTGGGACCAGCTGGAGCTCCACCCGAGGATCATCTCTGCGGTGCGGAGATGTGCTCTCTCTGTCCGGGCGGTGCTGTGTGTTTCTGCCCCGGACCTGCAGCGGCTCTCCGGTCTGTCCCGCTCCGACACCCAGCAGCTGCTCACCGCCGCCGCCACAGCCTGCCGCCGCCACGCGCCCCTCCCTGCGCTCCTGAGCCGCGGGTTCCAGTCCAGCCTCAGACTCAGCGTGGGCTGCCCCATCCTGGACGAGCTGCTGAGGGGGGGGTTACCCGCGGAGGGGGTCACCGAGCTGTCCGGAGAGAGCGGCGCGGGGAAGACTCAGCTGGCTCTGCAGGTTTGTCTGTCTGTGCAGTACCCAACACAGTACGGAGGTCTGAACGCAGGAGCCGTGTTTATCAGCACCGAGGACTCTTTCCCGGTCCGGCGGCTGCAGCAGCTGATCCGGGGTCAGTCCTGTCTGCGCAGCGACGTCCCTCCCTCGCTCATCAGCAGCCTGAACTTCAGCGACCGGGTCTACATCGAGCACGCCGCAGACCTGGCCTCTCTGCAGGAGTGTGTGTCCCGCCGCGTGCCCCTGCTGCTGGCTCGCGGACTGGTGCGTCTCGTGGTCGTGGACTCGGTCGCTGCGCTGTTCAGGTCGGACTTCCTGGCTTCTGATTGGCTGGAGAGGAACAGACAGCTGCTCACCTTCTCCGCCGCTCTGCACCACCTGAGCCGGGAGTACAGCACCCCTGTGCTCTGCATCAACCAGGTGACGGATGTTTTCAGCAGTTCGGACAGTTTGGTCCCATCGTCCAGCACGGGGACCCCCACCGTGGCCCCCGCCCTCGGATTGGCCTGGGCTAATCAGGTGATGGTCCGGCTGATGATGTGGCGTCTCCAGGGAACGGTCTCCCGTGGCGACCAGAGCAGCGCCCCGCGCAGGCTGCAGGTGGTGTTTGCTCCTCATCTGGCCCGCGGGGGCCGGGGGGCCGGCGTGTGGAGGGAGGGGGTCCGAGGCCTCACAGAAACCGCATGAAATTATTCATAAAAATATAAATACAAGATTCACACACACACACACACCTGTACAGACAAACACAAAAGTGTAACAGCCATTGCTGCCTTGTTTTTATGTTAAATATTACTCACCTCTTTGTTGCAAGCCTCTGGTCGAACTACAGAAAAGCAGGTTTACAGAGACCTTGAGTAGCCATGCTATGAGAATATTACTAAAGAGACCCAGATGGTGTAGTGAAAGTTAAATGTTTGAGGCTGTAGGAGTCTATAAATTACATAATGTTATAAGAAATCTCCAAGAGATTAAGAAAGAGCAACTATTACTCAGTAATCCAATACCGTCCATCTGTGCAGACATTTGTTAGGTTTTCTCTTTGAATAACAACATTCTTTTTAAAGCATGTTTTTTATTTTGCTTTTGTATATAATTTATATATTCTTTTATGTAATTAAACGTTTCTAAAGTTTTGAATATTTGATTTGTACATACATACATACAGTAGTCTTTATATGTACATATTATTTCTGATGGTTCTCAGTTTAGCTAATGGTAGTATAAAACACTATTGGAGTCATTTCGGACCAGAAGAAACATGTTTCCCAACATTTTAATGTCAAATACATTTGACAGTTAGCATTGTACATTACACGCTTGTAATCTGGAATTCCAGTGTATCTACAATGGATTACCTTATGCTTACACTGTACCAGAGTTGGTGTCATTTTATCCTACGTTATCAGAACATTACGGATTAAACTACTAAGGTTGAGTTAACATTTGACATTAAGCAATTGTATTATTTTCTTTAAACAAATGTGATCTGGCAGCAAACTATTTTTTAAAGAAGTACTACATTCTCTCACTTGTGGAAGCATTAAAAACGTTCAGGACTGAATTTATTATTTTATTGGCATATACACAGTTTTTACAACAGGAAATTAAAGAAATATTTCAACTTCAGTGATGACCATGGAACTCGGGGAGATTTGGAATAACTTCACCCGTCTCCTGGATGGTGTCACCCTTAACACAAAAACAGGGACAGAAAACAATTAGCAATTAGCATCATAGCACTGTTTGCATGTAAACAATCAGATCTAACTCTGGTAAATCAGGTGTATGCAGATGTACATCTTAATCACATACACTATAATTATATTAATTATACAATTACGGTGATTAGAGGAACACAAAAGATACAATTGTATGATTTTAAATTAGTCATACTTACAGGGAACAGCTTGGGTTTCAAATCCACAATACCATATGGCCTTGGCTGCGGGGGACAAAGACATTGTTTTAGTACTCTTCCGACACCTGCATGTATAAGTATGGGTTGTATAGTGGCCATGTTTGTCAATAAAAGACATTGAATAAAGCTAATGAAACAAATGTAAAAGTAGTACTGTTTTATGCAAGTTACCATGTATGCTACCTTAAGAGTAGTGAAACAGTCTACCATCAGTATTGGAACTTACTTTTTAAATGCAATAGGTTACAGGACACATTTTATAAGCTATTTTAAATCTTTTTTAAGTAATGTTGATTACCTGTAAATCAAATGTTTTAACCTGGACAACAAAAGTCCTAAAAACATAAAATCAACCCAGGCAGCTTTTACTACTTATTTGTTTACTAATATCACAAATAAAGCATATCGACTCACAGCAATGTGGTATTTCACCCAGTAGTGACAAAGCCAAGCAGGAATCAACAGTCGTGTGATGGCGAAAACTCCACCTGTGTATGCTTTGTAGGTCTGTAAGGAGATAGAGATGAGAGAAAAGTTATTACGCATAGACGAGACATACAGCATGAGCCAGAGTGTTGATTTTGTCTGCTCTAAACAGGTAACGCCTAAATAGTAAAAATAGAAGTCATATCAAAATATACTGTGTTACAATTAAAAGTCCTGGATTTAAAATGTAACTACTTCATGGGCTTATAAAAAAAGAAAATTCAAAAAGAAATATATTTTATTGTTGTGAATAAGGTATTGATGCATTCACGTGGTAAGAAGGAGCTTATTAATTGTTTTACTAAATATATACCGTGAAGCATGTCAATGTCCTAGGGAACAATAACAATATTTGTTTAATGCCCTATGTGTAGATAAATGTAGGACAAAGAGCACAAGGTATTATTTTCAAAATGATAACAAGCCTGCCTGACTTTTATTTGATTCCTTCCTTACTATTTATATAGTATGAATATAAACAAATATATATTCATCTTTCTTAAAGAAATAATTAGTTTTGGTGAGCTATTTCACCACGTTTAAAAGGTGCTACACTAACAAAATCTATTATTATTATTATGTTAAAAAATAAGTAAGTTGGGCAGAGGTCGAATAAGAACAAAGAAAAGTGAAAATGAAAAAATGAAAAGTGCTGCATTCAAAATGTTAAGTAATAGTACAAAAGTATTGGCATCAAAATACTAAAAGTACCAGAAGAAACTCGTTATTCAGATTGGCCCATTTTGAAATAATTTACATTGTTTTGATTATAATTATTGATGCATTAATATGTTTATCATAGCTGGTGCAGGTGAAACTACTTTTGTATTATTCACTTAGTTTTAAGTGTTGTTGATCATATTTTTTGTTATCATTCATTTATATCTGCAAAGTAACTTAAGGTACTACATGCATCTAGTACAAGTACACTATTTACCTCTGAATTAGTAGTGGAGTAGAAGTATAAGGAAACATAAAATACAAATATTCCAGTCTCAAAAAATTGTACTGACAGTACTTGAGTAAATGTGCTTCGTTACCTTACCAATGCATTTAGCTTAGCACACAACCCGTTAGCAAGTTTAAATATAACTGATAACCTTAACATAAGGAGCCGTTGTTAGGCTGTATTTAAGGTTGTTTATCAACTGTTTTTAACATTATGGCTGTGCATCAGGACCTTTATACAGTCTATGATCAGGACTCACGTAAAGCCTCCACAGGCTTTTGGGCTCCAGGAATCCAGCCCAGAACTTAGCAACGGCTCCCAGAGGTTTGGCCTGAATCACGGGCTCTCTCGGGCTGAGCTCCTGGTCCTTTAGCCACAGTTTCCGGAGCTTCCTCAGCTGATCCAGCCGCAGCTTCTCGTCCGGTGTGTACCCAGACATTTTGATTTTTTGGATATTCAACCTCAAGAGAACAGCAATGACACCATGGAGGACACTTCCCCTTCGAAGGCAAATACACAAACGAAGAAGAAGAAGGAGCGGAAATGTGTCACGGATTGAAGAGT